CTGCACCAGCACTCCACGCAGGGAAAGATCCAGCCCCCTCGCTTCTCACCTGAAACGTGAGGAGATTTTTGAGTCAAAGACCCATCCCGTCTGCCATCTTGCTCCACCCCCTCTTTCTGTTTTCTTGATGAAGGCTTCCAGTGCTATAAATTTCCCTCTTTGGAGTCCCTTTGCAGTATCCCATAGGGTTTGATAATTTGTGTCTTCATTATCATTTTGTTCCAAAAATTTGGTGATTTCCTTCTTAATCTCATTTTTGACCCAGCTATAATTCAGCCTAAGATTAGTTTCTAAGACTTTGTGTGAGTATGAAGATTTCTGTTGCTTTTATTTCATGGTGGTCCGAGAAGATACAAGGAATAATTTCTACACTTTAAATTTGGTGAGGTTAGACTTGTGTCCTGGGATATGATCTATTTTGGAGCATGACTTGTGGGCTGATGGGAAGAATGTATATTCAGTTTTATTAGGGTGAAATGTTCTATAGAGGTCTGTAAAGTCCATTTGTTTTAGGGTCAGGTTTAAGTCTAATACTTCTTTGTTTAGTTTCTTCTTGGAGGATCTATCCAAAACTGTCAAAGGGGTGTTAAAATCTCCAACTATTATAGTGCAGGAAGATATCAAGTTATTCATATCCATTAGGGTCTGCTTTATGAATTGAGGAGCATTCTGGTAGGGTGCATAAATGTTATCAAAATCTCTTCATGTTCGGTGTTTCCCTTGGCGAATATGTAGTGACTTTCCTTATCTTTATCTTTGTTGGTTTAAAGCCAATTGTGTCTGCTACTAAAATTACAACCCCTGCTTTTTTCTGGTTTCCATTTGCCTGTATTATACAACTCCATCCCTTCACCCTAAGTTTATTTTTATCCTTTAAGGTCAGGTGAGATTCTTATAAAACAACAGATATCTGGTCTGAGTTTATATATCTAGTCAGCCAGCCTGTGCCTCTTTAGAGAACAATTTAAACATTCACATTAATTGAGAGAATTGATAAACCTGGTTGTGTTTTGGGTGTCATGATTTTCGTATGTCCAGGGGCATTTTTAATCCTTTCACCACTGTGAAAGTTGGGTTTTGTTAAAAAATTTCTGTGTGAGTTTACTTTTACTATCATATATAATTAATTCATATATGTGTAATTTTTTCTTGTTAGAATATCTCTTAAATAGAGATGCATCTCAATGATATATAGCATCATATTTTTATAAATGTGGAAATTAAATAAAGTTGTTTGATTTGGGGGAGGGAAATATTTGGTTACTTCTTTGTATTAATGCTTGCACAGGGGCTTCCTTTTAGTTTCTCAATAAATAATGGACTAAAAGATTGGGAACAAATTAGCCATTTTTATACCTATTTCTATGCAACATTATACTAAAATTCATAATGCAGTAGAACCTCTATAGTTGACAGCTTTCCTACATTGACCACCTTGTTAAGTTTACTTTATTTTCATAGACCAAACATGTATCATGTGTATTCTGTACAAAATTCAACTCTTTATACTGACCACCTCTGTAACTTGTATCTTGACCACTTGGACTGTGACACACAATATTAATTTACCCTGTATAACTTGACCAGTTGAGCCTACTATGTGCCAAAGGGTACAAGGCCTAGGCTTTGCCCCTTAGTTATATTATTTTTTTCTTTGGTATAAGTTCTTTTTTCATGTTTTGTTGTTACTGTATGTTGGATTAGGTCTTCTACCCTATTGTTTATCATGTATTGCAGAATATTTTTTCAACATGAAGGAATCATCTGAATTATAGGTACATCCTACAGTTACTGAAAGATTTTATAGTTGAGATATGATGGGCCAAAGGAAAGAACTCAAAGAGCTCACATTGAAAGAAAAGGTTGATTTTGTACATTTTCTGGAAAGCAGCAGCCAAAGACAGTGGAACATTTTGGTGTTCACAGGACCATAGTTAGCAACATCTAAAAATGTAAACATGAGAATTTGGAGAGGTATGGTAAGGAAAGTGGAGATCTACAGTAGAAAGGGAAAACTTCCCTCCATGAAGTCAGTGAAGCTACATTAAGCTGGTCAAGCAAATGAGGGCAGTTAATGCTCAAATTGCCCAGCCATTGATCCAAGAAGTGCTTAAAAATCCACATGAGATTTCAGAGTGGCAGATTTCCAAGCATCAAGTGATTGGCTCTAGAAATTTAAACTGTGGCACGAGATCCCCCCAAAAGTCTTGTGTAGTGAATCCAGTGAAGTTCCAGTGATGTAGAAGATTGCATCAGAAAGTTTCTGGAATTCACCAGAGACTTCAAACATGATGACACCTTTAATGCTGAGCAGTGCAAACTCCTTTTCAAGGTGATGCCTGACAGGAACTTTATCATGAAGGGTGACAAATGGAAGAGCACAAAGTTTTCCAAGGCACATTTCACAGTTCTGCTTGCCCTAGCTCAACCAGTTTGAAACTAAAGCCCTTGGTGAATCAGCAAAGCCATGCAATTTAAAGAACCTGAGGCCCAAAGACCTCCCTGTCACTTGGAGGTCAAACACATGCACTTGGATAACTGGTGCCCTGTTTGAGGAGTGGGTACAGATATCTAATGAGAAATGAAGAAGAAATAGTCTATGCTACTGATAGTAGACACCTGTTCAGCCACCTGCAATCATCTCACTCATATGACATTGAAATTTCTGCCTCCAAACCTGACCTCAGAAATCCCATCTCTTGACTAGGGTGTTATCAGAACATTTAAAATACATATGGACCCCAGCTCCTGTAGTGGGTCATTACTAAAACACAGATCTGTGGTTTACCTGTGGAAGCATCTTTATCTGCTGTATCAGTTAACACTCTGGAAGCTGCCCTCCGAATCATTTCTGCTAGTAATAAAGTTCAGTCAGAAATGATACAGAAGCATTTCAAGAAAGTTGGAATTTGTCACAATCCAAGAGCATGGTGAAAGTCCCCATCAGACAGTCCATCTCCTTTTACAGAATTTGAAGGAATAGATTATGAAGGTCTTGTTGCAGTGGAGGATGAGGTGGCAACCTGTAATGAAATTGACCCAGAAGCAGTTTTTCAAATGTACCGAAGTACAGACGATTGTAAAAGTGCATGAAGCAGCTGATGAAGTGGAAGGAGCAAGTGTGACATACAAGTAGCAGAGACTCCAAAAATGAGGATGTCAGGCATCTGATAATGCAGTTGAAGTCATTTGCTATGGAAAAATGCCTAGTTACGCTGAGTGGTATAGCCAGTGTTGAGTGTGTTTGCATGTTTGTAATAAAAATAAGAACCAGACTGAGATTTACTTTTTCTTCAGAAGGAATGATTAGACCATGTTTGGAAAAACAGTAAATGTATTGACTTTGTATGATTATGTATGATTTTACTGTGTTTTGATTATGTAGAGTTTGTATGATATTCTTTAACAAAAGCTGTACAAGAAAGTAAAGTACATGTCTGCATCAGGGCTGGGCACAGTGGCTCACACCTATAATCTTAGTATCTGTGAGACTGAGGTGAACGGCTTGTTTGAGCTCAGGAGTACCAGATCAGCCTGAGCAAGAGCAAGACCCCGTCTCTACTAAAATTAGAAAAAAACTAGCTGGGTGTCACGGTGGGCACCTGAAGCTGAGGCAAGAGGATTGCTCAAGTCCAAGAGTTTGAGGTTGCTGTGAGCTATGACGACACCACTGCACTCTAGAGTAAAAGAGTGAGACTCTGTCTCAAAAAAAAAAAAGTAGGCTTAGTTCCTTATGTTGACCAGTTTATTACAGTCCCTTGGGTGGTCAACTTACAGAGGTTCTGCTGTCATTTCGTTATTTAAAAAAGAACAAATTTGCCTTGCCAGATAAGCAGCATATTCTTATTGTAGTATATTTATTTGTCTTCTTCCATACAAAGGGGCTTATGCCACTGTGCTCCATTGTCTGGATCAGTGCCAGGCACACAGATACCAAACTATCTGTTGAGGGAAAAAAATTCTGTAACTTGATTATTTTCATTATATGACAAATCTTCTCCATTTTTCCATAACATACTTATTTTATAAGCTGTATACTGCTGTACCCTATTTGTTTTACATATATATGTATATTTTTGACATAGGGTCTTGCTTTGTCACCCAGGCTAGAGTATAGTGACATCATCATAACTCACTACAGCCCTGAACTCTTGGGTTCAAGTGATTCTCTTCCCTTCGTTTTCTGTGTAGCTGAGACTACAGGCATGCGCCACTGTGCCCAGCTAATGTTTTTACTTTGCTGGTCTTGAACTCTTGGCCTTATTGTCCCCGTTTGGCCTCCCAAAGTGTTGGGATTGTAGGGATGAGCCACTATGCCCAGTCTATACCTAAGGGAGTATAACAAGGTAGTCGACATACAGAGGTCAGCATAAGAAACTTCCATCGAGTATATATGGTACATGTCCAGTGTGTGAAAATTAGGTCAGCTTATAGAAGTGGTCAATCTAGGGAGGTGGCCAACTTTGGAGGTTCTATTGTATTTATAACTGCATGCTATTAAACTATATGAGAATAGAAATATACTTTTTTTTTTTTTAGCAAATATGCTCTTAATATTTTAAGTCATTTCTAGTTTTCTGGTTACAAGGAATTCTGTAGTAAAGGTTATTATACTTTTATTTTGTCTGTTTGTATGTGTGCCCATCATGGATGTAGGGTAATTTCTTGTAACCTTGGACTTGCTTGTTCAAAAAGAATGTGAATTTTACCTTTTGGTGAATATTGTCATTGTCCTCCAAATACTCATTTTAGTTGAGACTTTAGATATTCATCAACTTTGGATGTTATAAAATTTAATTTAAGACTTTCTTTCAAAGTTTTCTTGTCATTCTGTTTTATCAACATATATTCATTTTCCTATTGTTTGATATTTAGTAGAAATCATTCTGTAGCGTTTGTGTTTACATCTGAATCTTGCATTGTTTGGTTAGGTGAATTTTAGCTACAGCATTCTTTGAGAGAAGCCCATTTTTATACATCTTTGTTTCTCTTCTCTGAAGGCATCCTTTATCAAAAAACCATTTGCCCGTGGAGAAGTAGAATCAATGGAAGAGGATACTAACAGAAATCTAATGGAGGTGGAGGATCAGTCATCCATGAATTTATTCAATGATAATCCTGCTAGTAATGTTAATGATGCCAATGAACCTGGAGAGAGCCTGAGTATTATAGGTAAATGCATGTTTATTGCTTGAGATGTCTTTTGCCTCTTTATTGATTTAGCATTATAAAAGGTCCCATTTAGGATTATTTTCTTCCTGTAGACTTTAAATATTTCTGATTTGTCATTGAATGTATAAGTTTTCTATTTGGAGAAATTTGGAATAATTATTAAATAAAACCATAGGATAAATTATTTCGAAAGTAGAAAGTAGGGAGATTAAAAACACCCATAATGCCATCACTTGTAACTTTTTACTGTTCTCTATAGCCCCTTTCAGAATTATAATCAGCATCAACATTCAGATATGTTGTATAGCTTGTTCAGTGTTATTTATAAGATTAATTTCATAAGCATTTTTCCCACGTAGCTGTTTGTCTTGATAATCATACCTTTTAATAACTTTGCGGTATTCCAGCCATGAATATCATAATTTACTTGGCCATTTTTTATTGCCAAAAATTTAGGTTTTTTCTATGTCCATGTTATAAACATTATTGCAACAATTATCTATATAGTATTTTCCTATTTTTTTTATTATCTCTTGATAACAGAATTTTGGAATGACCTTTCATGAAGAGTTTTGAAGCTTGTAGTTTGCAATTAGCCTTGCTATAGTTTTGTTTTCCATGTAATTTTTCTTTTTTTGGTAAAAGGGAGTGTATTTTAAGTTAATAGTTAATATATGGCTGTTGTGCCTCTCTCTTAGTATTAATAAGAGCTTTTTACTTTTAGGTGCCATGAATCCATTAGCTGAAGAATATCTGTCAAAGCAAGATCTACTCTTTTTAGACATGCTAAAGTTCTTGTGTGTGTGTGTAACTACTGCTCAAACCAATACTGTGTCATTTCGGGCAGCTGATATTCGAAGGAAATTGTTAATGTTAATTGATATTAGCACACTAGACCCTACCAAATTCCTCCATCTACATATGGTGAGTTAAGTGAAAGGAAGAATCTTCACTTCTGTCTGATGTTCCTGACTATGTGTAATTAGTTGATGTGTAAGAATCAAAGTGGTACTGGGGGGTGCCTGTGGCTCACTAGGTAGGGCGCTGGCCCCATATACTGAGGATGGTGGGTTCAAACCCAGCCCCAGCTAAACTGTAACAAAAAAATAGCTGGGCGTTGTTATGGGTGCCTGTGGTCCCAGCTACTCAGAAGGCTGAGGCAAGAGAATCACCTAAGCCTAAGAGCTGGAGGTTGCTGTGAGCTGTGATGTCACAGCACTCTACCGAGGGTGACAAAGTGAACTCTAAAATAAAAAAAGAATCACATAGTACCTTTGAAGACTCTAAATTGCTTCCTTGAATAGTGAATGTGGGTGGCTCCTGTGGCTCAAAAGGAGTAAGGCACCAGCCTCATATGCCAGAGGTGGCGGGTTCAAACCTAGCCCCGGCCAAAAAAAAAAAAGAATAATGAATGTGAAACTACTTATAAAATACACTTTCTTTGACTGTGCTGTGAGAAAAACTTAATCATTCTTTTTCTTGCCACACACATACCATTTTTCTAAAGCATTTTGTGATTAAATTGCACATGTAATTGCCCTTGTACTTCAGTGTATATTTCCTAAAAGCAGGGATACATGTCTATATAGCTACAGTACACTCATCAAAATCAGGAGGCTGACATGGTGTCATTGCATTTAGGTGGGAAGTCTGTTCAGTCTCCTTCAGTCTGGAGTAGTTCTTTGCTTATCCATTGCGAGCTTCATTTTTTTTGTTTTTGAGACAGAGCCTCAAGCTGTCCCCCTGGGCAGAGTGCTGTGGCATCACAGCTCACAGCAACGTCTAACTCCTGGGCTCAAGTGAGTCTCCTGCGTCAGCCTTCCAAGTAGCTGGGACCACAGGTGCCCACCACAGCACCTGGCTATTTTTTGGTTACAGCTGTCATTGTTGTTTTGGTGGGCCTGGGCTGGATTCGAACCTGCCACCTTAGGTGTATGTAGCTGGTGCCTTAGCCACTTGAGCCACAGGCGCTGAGCCATTAGCCTCATTTTTTAAATGATACAGGTTAATGGCTCTGCTGATGTTTCCTCATGATTAGATTTAGATTTTGATGAACATATTATGAAAGTAGTCCCTTTTCTGTCTTCATGCCATCTAGCTATACTACTTGTAGGTATCTCCAATTCTAAGCCACTAATATAGGGTTTGTTTGTTTTTTTTTTTCTTTCTTCAAATTTGTAGCTTTCTTTTCTGGTAGTAAAATAACCTGGGTTTCCACTTAACTTCAGTACATTTACTTAAATTTACTCCATAACCTTAAATGTAACTAATGTCCTGACCAAGGGGGCCATTTCCTTAGCCCTAGCCCTGGTGAACATGTTGGTGGAGCCCCTGGCCCAGTGAGTAGCTGGGTGGATCTGAGGTCACATTCTCAGTTCCACCAGATTTGCAGATATACCTTTTGAGTCCCTAATTAGAATCTCTGATCACAGCAGGTTCTAATCACCCTGATTCCAGCAGGCTGAATCTGCTGGAATTCCTGGTCATGTTTCCAGCCTTGGTGAACATTCATTGATTTCCTAGAAATAACAAAGTAGTTTGTACTCTGTTTGAGCCTCTGGTTTCAGCCCTGGGAACTGCTCAAGTCAAGTCTGTATAGCACTGACCAAGGGAAGTGTTAATGTGCTTTTCTTGAAGCTTTGATGTTTAAAGTTGCTTTAAAACACTGAGTAACTTCATACCTGCATGACTCTCATGTCAAATAATGAAAAGGATCATTAAAATTTTTTTGTTAATATCAGAAAGGGAATAAGAAATGTATTTTTCTACATACAGATAATAGGGGAAAGATCTCCTACAATTCCATACTATAGCTTCAAAACCATTTGGCAATTCTCTGAAATTGGCTGCTTACTTATATTAAAAACTACCATAGTGGCCAAATAGCTCCTCTCCCTTTTTTACAATTTCAAACTATTAGGGGGTGCAAGTGTTCTTGTTACATGGATAAATTGTATAATACTGAAGTCAGGGTTTCTAGTATGCCTTCCACCAAAATAGTGTACATTGTACCCAATAGATAAGTTTTAATTTCTCACTACCCTGCTATCCTCCCCCCTTTAGCTTCCAATGTTCTTTACACTTCATGATTCTGTACACTCATCGTTTAGCTCCCACTTACTAGTGAGAACACGTGATGTTCATTTTGCCATTCCTGAGATACTGCACTTTGATAATGTTCTCTAACTTCATCCAGGTTTCTACAACTTACATTATTTCATTCCCTTTTTATGGTGTATATATGGGGCCTGTGTGGAACATTTCCTGGCCTGTATGCATGGATGTCTCTGTTTTTCATATTACGTAGCTAGGTACACTTCCATATAGCCGTGTGTGTGTATGTGTCTGTCACATTTTCTTTACTCATTTCATTCCATACCTTTGCCTTTCTTTTTTTAGGAAATTTTAATTTTTGAAACAGTCTTGCTCTGTTGCCAAGGCTGGAGTGTAGTAGCATAATCTTAGCTCACCGTAACCCTCTACCTCAGCTTCCTAAGTAGCTAGGACTACCGGCACATGCCACCACGTTAGGTTAATTTTTCTTTCTTTCTTTCTTTTTTTTTTTCTTCAGAGATAGTCTCACTTTATCGCCGTTGGTAGATTGCTGTGGCGTCACAGCTCACAGCAACTCCTGGGCTTAGGCAATTCTCTTCCCGATGCCCACAGCAACTTCTGGGCTTAGGCAGTTCTCTTCCCTCAGCCTCCCAAGTAGCTGGGACTACAGGTGCCTGCCACAATGCCCAGCAATTTTTTTGTTGCAGTTTGGCCGGGGCTGGGTTCGAACCTGCCACCCTCAGTATATGGGGCCTGCACCCTACTCACTGAGCCACACGTGCTGCTCCCAATTTTTCTTTTTTTAAAAATGCATAGAAATGAGTTCTTCCTTCTGCTTTGACCTCTCAAAGCACTGGGATTACAGGATATGAGCCACCATGGCTAACCCCTCAAACAAACCTTTCTACCGAGAGGATCGTAGAGAGCCTAATAGAAAGATATATGAAGGTGTTTGACTTCTTCCCTCCCCATGATTATCTGTAATTTCCAAATTTCATTAATTAAATGTTTTTAACCATTGGACTCTTTTATACCCAAGCGTTATTTTGGGAGTCTGGGATAGAGTTTCAGAATCTTGCTTAAGTTTTTAATCATACTTGTGATAACAACCATTTATTGAATTCCAAAGTAGAAGCTGGACCTCTGTTTTCTCTAATCCTCACCATTATCTGGCTGAGTGGTATATCTCCATTTTATAAGTGAGGGTACAAGGACTCCAGATAATATAAAGCAATTTTTTTTTTTTTTTAAGAGACAGAGTCTTGGTTTTTATTGCCCTGGGTAGAGTGCCATGGCGTCATAGCTCAAGCAACCTCAAACTCTTGGGCTCAAGGAATTCTTCTGCCTCTGCCTCCTGAGAACTGGGACTACAGGTGCCTTACATCATGCCCAGCTAGTTTTTTCTATTTTTAGTAGAGATGTGGCCTTACTGTTGCTCAGGCTGGTCTCCAACTCCTGACTCAAGCAATCCACCTTCCACGACCTTGCAGAGTGCTAGGATTACAGATGTGAGTCACTGCGCCTGGCCATAAAGCAAGTTTTCTAGCCACTCAAGTTAAGGTCATGGTATTGGGATTTGAATTCAGCTCTGTTTGACTTCAAAGTCTTATAACTATATACCCTCTTAAAAATGTATAGCTGTGTATATACATATATATATACACACATACTTTAAAAGTAAATGATCTGTGAAAAAAAGTGTATTTTTTTTTCCTCCTACCATCTTAGTATCTAGTGCTTTTAAAGGAGCTTCCTGGAGAACAGCATCACTTGCCAATGGAAGACGTTGTTGAACTTCTGAAACCACTATCGTAAGAAATTAAAACCATATGTTATCTTCATGTTAAATTTATGAAATAACTGATTTGTTCCATTAAGCTTATAAAGTTAAACTTCTTCTACCATAGCAATGTGTGCTCTTTGTATCGACGTGACCAAGATGTTTGTAAAACAATTTTAAACCACGTCCTTCACATAGTGACCAACCTAGGTCAAGGCAGCGTGGGCTCTGAGAACACAAGAGATGCTCAAGGGCAGTTTCTTACAGTGATTGGAGCATTTTGGTGGGTGCATTTGGAGCATTTTTGGAGTTTTGTCTTTTTTGCTATCTCTATGATGTTTGGTACAAATGAAAACATTGCATTTCTACATTAGTGATTTTTTCTGATAACTCCTATATAAGTGTATATATCTTTTAACAGTAGCAGAATGTAATTTGTGTTTCCCTTAATGGCTTAAATTCTTTTTAAGCAATCAAGTAGAGTGAGAACTCATTCCTCCTTTTTCCATTTTCCTCTAGGACAGTGGTTCTCAACCTTCTAATGCCACGACCTTTTAATACAGTTCCTCATGTTGTGACCCCAAACCATAAAATTATTTTCGTTGCTACTTCATAACTGAAATTTTGCTACTGTTATGAATCGTAATGTAAATATCTGATATGCAGGATGGTCTTAGGCAACCCCTGTGAAAGGGTCGTTCGGCCCTGAAAGGGGTCACGACCCACAAGTTGAGAACTCCTGCTCTAGGAAATTAAATTCTTTAAGCAATTAAGGGAAACACAAATTACATTCTGCTACTATTAATGTAATGCTAAGTTTCCACTTTGCTTTTTGCTTATGGCATGGCTTTCTAAACTGTGTAGCGTATTTCCCTGCATGTTTTGAATCACTTAATGGTTTTAGATGTGTAGTGGATAAAGAAAGTGCATTGAGCCTAAATAAATTGAATTGTTCCTATTCCCGAAGTGAACAAATTGGCTTTGTCAATTTGCATCGCATATTATTTCGTGTGTATTTTATAGTCTGAAACATCACATGTCTAAATCAATATGGAATATGGTTTTGAAATCTTGATAACAACCAGAACTTAAAAGAAAATTTCTTTTTAAGCAATTTACTATAAAATGGTTAGGTGAAGTATGATAAACCCCCAAAAGTGGAATAATTGTGTAAAAACCAATGATGTACCTTAAAATGAACTTTCAAATTAATTTCTTTTCTTTTCTTTTTTTTTTTTTTGAGACAGAGTCTCACTATGTCGCCCTAGGTAGAATGCCGTGGTGTTACAGGTCATAGCAACCTCAAACTCTTGGACTTAAATGATTCTTTTTCCTCAACTTGCCAAGTGGCTGGGACTACAGGAGCCCACCACAACACCTGGCTATTTTTTTGTTGTAGTTGTCATTGTTGTTTGGCAGGCCCTGGCCGGGTTCAAACCCGCCAGCTCTGGTGTATATGGCTGGCACCCTAGCCACTGAGCTATAGGCGCTGAGCCCTAATTCTTTTAGCTTAAATTTTTGGAATGTGTATATATTGTCATATTCCATATAAAGAATATTAAATTTAGCATGGAAAAAAATTTTGGAAGCAAGCTATAATAACCTTAATATGTAGTAATTTTTCTGACTGAGGCTTTTATTGGAATGATTGTTTGACACAGAAAACTTAATTTGATTTCAGGCATCTAACAAAGGAGGGAAAATGTACATCCTCTGTGAGAATGGCACTAGTAAAATGCCTTAAAACTTTGCTTGAGGTAAGTTATTATAAAGGTCGCCATTGAAATTTTTAAAGTGGCTTTTGTTTCAACAGACATTAATGAGTGATCTTTCTTCATCTTTCATATTTAACCTTCATTGTTCTTTTCTCATAGGCTGATCCTTATTCAAAATGGGCAATTCTTAATGTAAAGGGAAAAGACTTTGCTGTCAATGAAGTATTTCCACAATTTCTTGCTGATGATCATCACCAAGTTCGCATGCTGGCTGCAGAGTCAGCTAATAGGTAATGGGCCAGGTTTTCCTGAGGTGTTTGGAAGGCTGCGGATGCATAGCAATGTGCAGCGCAGTCACAGCTCACTGGCTGGGTACTCAAAAGTGTGTGGCACCTATGTTTTTCTTAATTCTGACACTTCTGTCACTTAGTTACTATTATTTTCTCCAATTTATAAATGAAAATTCTGTGACTTAAAGCAATAAAGTAACTTAACTTATGCCAAAGAGCTAATAAGTTGACTTGAATGGAGAGTGTCTGCTACTACAGGAGGTATATTTCCTATAGAGAGAATGTTTGGACATTACTGTGTTTTTATATAAGTTTATACAGTGATAATTAGAACATTTTATGTTTTTGCTAATTGCAGTTTATATTTACTTAAGTGAACATACAGTGAGGCACTGGAATGATTCTATCATGATGATCTTTTTTATTTGGGTACCCAAATAAATATACACTAATTTTTTTAAGGACTATGTGTTTATTATGTTATCAAGTTGATTTTAAAAGTCTAAATTGCAAATTTAAATTCCCCTCCTCACACTGCCTATAAATAAAGCACTTCCCCGTTCTATTTTCTGTTCTATTTTTTTTTTTTTTGAGACAGTCTTACTGTGTTGCTCTTGGTAGAGTGCTGTGACATCACAGCTCACAGCAACCTCATACTCTTGGGCTTAAGTGATTCTCTTACCTCAGCCTCCCAAGTAGCTGGGACATAGGCACTTGCCACAGTGGCTGGCTGTTTTTTTGCTGTAGTTGTTATTGTTGTTTGGCAGGTCCGGGCTGAGTTCAAACCTAGCAGTCCTGTGCATGTGGCCGGTGCCCTAGCTGCTGAGCTACAGGCGCTAGGCCCGAAATAGTATATTTATACACATTTACTTTCCCCTATTTCATTATGATACTAGCTCCTAAAAGGGTGTTGTTTTTTGCATGTTCATTACTGTATCTATAGCACCTAAAACAATATTTACCATGTGGTATGTGTTCAGTTACTATTTGTAAAATAAACGAATATATTTTAAAAAGAAATTGCATGATGCTTTTAAAAAACCAAAAATGAAAATCATTTGAGTAACTTTACCTTTCAAATGTAAGGCACCAATAATAGATCACCATCTTTTTTTTAACAGTCACACAAGATTTAGAACTAATGTATTCAAAATCTGAATATGCTAACAGTAACGTTTCCATGAACCAGTATGTGTATCTGCTCCTTCAGGTTTTGGAACTCTTTTCATTAAGACCATAGGATTGCTAGTGCATATGTATAGTAGTTGAAGTCCTTATTAAATTTCATAAATTAAAAAGATACCACTCATGGTAGAAGGTGAAGGGGTGTCAGCATTTGTAGAGATGATGTAGTAAGAGAAGGGAGAAAGGTACCAGTTTCTTTTTTAACTATCAGCTCTTCTATGATCAAGTAGAGTGAGAACTCATCCTCCTTCCCATCTGCTTCTAGGAAATTAATTTAACACGAGGGATCCATTGAGTGCCTCCCATTAGGCCCCATCTTCAACATTAGGGATCAGATTTCAACATGAAATTTGAAGAAGTCAGATGTAAAAATTATAGGAGATATCTAATTTGGGGCTTTTTAAGTAGAAGTTAGAGAAATCAGAGGAACACAAAAAATTACACAAGTTTAGTTAATAACAAAGCATAAATGGTAAAATTGATTGAAGAGTTATAATTAGGCTGGGTATGGTGGCTCATGCCTGTAATCTCAACACTTTGGGAGGCCAAGGTGGGAAAATCTTTTGTGGCTAGGAGTTCAAGACCAGCTTGGGCAACGTAGTAAGACCCTGTCTCCAAAATTTTAAAAAAATTACCTGACCATAGTGGCGTATGCTTATAGTTCCAGCTACTCAGGAAGCTGAGTAGGGAGGATCACTTGAACCTAGAAGTTCAAGTCTGCAGTGAGCTGTGATTGTGCCATGGGACTCCAGCTAGTGGAGTGAGACCCTGTCTCAAGGGGGAAAAAAAAAGGATTATCCTTAAATACATGGATAATATGCAAAAGGCACTGATCAGCTTTTCTCCATCTCCTAAAACAAAATTTAAATGGAACATCAAGGCATTAAGCTGCCTCTTTTCAGGGTGATTAAATATTAGCACAGGTTGACTTAAGAGTCTGTAGACTCTTAGGTTTGGCCAGAGAGCAATTTATCTTTTCTGGCTAGTTTGAATTCATTGCTGTTCAAATTTCCACAATAGTTAAAAGATCTTTTGGCACCCTTTTTAATTAGAAAAGGAGAAAATGGATTCTGTTTTAAAGACCATAATGCTAAACAGTTGGTCTGGACAGTTGGTTATGGTGGATGCCTGTAGTCCCAGTTACTCAAGAGGCTGAGGCAAGAGAATCACCCACGCCCAGGAGTTGGAGGTTGCTGTGAGCTTTGACACCATGGCACTCTATCAAGGGCAATAAAGTGAGACTCTATCTGTTAAAAAAAAAAAAAAGACAGTTGGTTAATAATATTTTAGTGTATCTTATGGTGTGATTTATTATTGTTATTTTCCTTTTTTTAAAGATTATTCCTGGATATGAAACAAGGAGATTCTTCCATGTTATTGAAAGCACTTCCTTGGAAGCTTCAGCAAGCAGCTTTTGAAAATGCACACTTGATAGCTTTGGAAGGAATAAAAGAAGTGGTAATTAGTATAATGCATATTTGCTTTTATATGCTTGCTATTAATATGTTACATTTTAATATTACTTTACCAGATTTGACCTGAGACAGTTTGTATCCTCCATGAATTGAATGAATTTGGCTTGGTGCCTGTAGCTCAGCAGCTAGGATGCCAGCCACACACACCAGGGCTGGTGGGTTTGAACCTGGCCCAGGCCTGCCAAACAACAATGACAACTACAACAAAAAAAAGTAGCTGGGTGTTGTGGCAGGTGCTTGTAGTCCCAGCTAGTTGGGAGGCTGAGGCAAGAGAATTGCTTAAGCCCAAGAGTTTGAGGTTGCTGTGAGCTGTGACGCCACAGCACTCAACCCAGGGCAACATAGTGAGACTCTGTCCCCCCCCCCCCAAAAAAAAGAATTGAATGAAATTGTATTACTTATATATCAAAAAGGCTCAAATCAGAGCAATTTTTTTTTTGGTTCAACTTAATATGTAGCATTTTTATGGGGAAATTGAAATTGTAGCTGTGTTTTTATGGGTGTATAAGTGGCTTCCTTTTTTATATAAAAAATTCTTTTGTGTCAGATCTGATTAAAAGCTTAAGTAAAGGAACAATAGGAAGAAATGGATTGAGAAGAAGATTCTTACACAAGATCAAATTATTTGTGGTTTTTTAAATGAAACTTGTGATTTTCATATTTCTTTGTGAAATATTTTTTTCTTAGAGTGGTGAAACTTATTTTAGTGGATTTATTAATTTATTTCCTGATTTGTTTCTTAAAAGGATTTGAAGTGTTAAATAAAATGACTGTCAAATCTATGATAGGAGGAAACTGATAAGTACAATTAGGTGAAAAAATGTGAATTTAGAAAAGGATTTAAAAATTTAGATTGGAAAAGATGAGTGTAACTAATATAAAATTTAATAGAGAGATAATATATATTATATCTTGTACATGAGCCCATCATCTGTATACTGACCTGCAGCAATTCATTTAGAAAAAGACCTGAGAGGTTTTACATCTTGAGATTGTACAATATGAATCAGCACTGTGATACAGTTATCATAAAAACAAATTCTATCAAAAATAACTTGGATCTTCTTTTTTTTTTTATTTTTCAATTCTATTTATTTATTTTTTATTAAGTCATTTGTACATAGATCATGAATACATTTATGCCATTGCGGGATTCAATGTGTTGATTATTTGTAATTTTAATTGGAGTGCTTATATCCTGCTAATCAACATAGCCTTCACCTCATTTACCCAATTACAGAGTTAAGACATTTGTGTTCTACACCTGATAGATCCAACTTGTACTTGCAAAATGCTCCATAGGTGTGGTCCCCTTACTAACCCTCCCTCTATCAACCCACCCCCCTCCCTTCCCCTCTCCCTCCCCTTTCTTCCTTCATCCTAGGTTATAGTTGTGTTTCATTTTTCATATACTTGGATCTTCTATACAAAAAGTCAGCCAGAATGTTTTTTTTGTTTGTTTGTTTTTTTTATTGAGACAGAGCCTCAGGCTGTCACCCTGGGTAGAGTGCTATGACATCGCAGCTCACAGCAACCTCCAGCTCCTGGGCTCAAGCGAGTCTCCTGCCTCAGCCTCCCAAGTAGCTGGGACCACCAATGCCCGGCTATTTTTTGGTTGCAGCTGTCATTGTTGTTTGGCAGGCCGAGGCTGGATTCGAACCCACCACCTTAGGTGTATGTGGCTGGTGCCTTAGCCACTTGAGCCACAGGCGCCGAGCCCTTTTTGTTTGGTTTTGAGTAAAAGATTTTTAACCAGGATGTTATGGAGTATATAGATCTGTGTTTTGCATATGTACAAGGAATAGTTGAAGGAATTCACTTAGTGGGAAACTCATGACTGTTTTCAAATGCATAATTGATTGTCATTTTCAAAAGAAATTAGTCCTTACTTTTTCTTAAACTGAAAGACAGAACTAGGAATGATTAGCAGGTTTTCTAAATGTGAAGAGAAATTTCTATCTAATATAGCTACTCAAAAGATATGGATATCTGGTGGGATGTTATAATTAATATTTAAACTAGATGCATATATCTTTCTATTTTAATTTCATGATTTTATTATTCCTTTTAATAATAGTATACATGATAACATTTTTTAAAGTATAAAGAGCTATACATTAAAACATCTTAATTATAAAAACAAGTTAGGAGTTATCCTTGGTAGTTGAAGAGGAGCTCTTAATTGCTTACACTCTTCTTTTTTGCAATTTCTTTTTTCTGTAAGATACTTTATACCTCACTGAATTGGTTTCTTTTGGAAATTTTTTCTGTAAGATCTTAAGAGCAATTTTTCCAACTTTAGAAAACCTCTATTTTCTCAAAATTGCTACTCTTAGCTTCATCACTGGAGGATTTAGAACTGTTTAACAGGGTGCTTAGAAGTTCATTGATTTTAGCCTGATTGGTTCATTTGTGATACTTAAATATTTTTATTACATTATTGTTTTAAATATTTTAAGTCCCACAGTGCTGAGAATGCTCAACTTTTGGATGAGATTTATAATAGAAAATCTGTTTTACTGATGTTGATAGCTGTGATTTTATACTGTAGCCCTATTTGTGAAAAACAGGCTTTGTTTGCCTTATGCAAATCTGTGAAAGAGAATGGATTAGAACCCCACCTTGTGAAAAAGGTATGTGTGGGTGAATAGTTTTTATTATAATCTTCATTGGGTAACTTTTAAACAATTAAAAAGATTAAAGCTAGATTTTTAAGATGGTACTTACTTTGGAAAACAGTTTTACTTCTTATATTGGGAATATTGGAAAGCAGTTATAATCACTCATTAAATGGTATGCTTATTTTCATGCAGTATCATTTCTGATCTGCAGTCAGACACATTAACCATTGGATCACTGGCCCACACCCCATTTCTTACATTCAGTTTAAGAGCATTTCACAAGGCATTCATTGAACTAACAAGGGTGAATGACTTGTATACCACACAGACTAGGCCCTCTGGAATAGTGTTTAGTGAGAGAAACACATGGAGACAAGAGCAGCACAGGTGCTTTACCCAATAGATTCTGGGAAGCACAATGGGACCTAGGAGGGCTAGAAGTCGAATTTTAGGGCTGAGAAACTTCTAAGTTATTAGGGGAAGAAGACTGGGGTCCAAGTCTTATAGTTACATCAGCACCATATTGTAGAATCTTGACTCCCTCCTGTTCCATCACCCACCTCAGCATTTATGGTTTGGAAAGTTCTAGGCCTTTTTC